TCTACCCCTCTCCATCTCCCCCCCCCCCCCGTTTACTCCTCTGCTCCCTGGATCAGTTCTCCAGGCTGAGATTATGGGATGCATATCAGCTAGGGATGTACAGCCCGTTCCTTCTAAGTACAGCCTGTGGGGCACATTTTGGGGAGCTCAGAGGCTGGTCTATGAGACTGTAAGGGTGCGTGTTTATATACATAGATTGGCCCAACTCAAGATGTACTACATACAGCTTCCCAGTGCTTGAATTCTTTGTGAGCTATTGGCATTAAAGTTGTGAGCGAACGACTTGGCTCCTGCATAATTGAGTTTGCTCTGGAGCCCTCCTTCCTGAGCTGAGACAGAAAGGTGTGAGCCAGAGGCTAAAAGACTGTGAGCTAGCTCACAGTAACTCAGCTTAGAGCTAACACTGCCTGTAGGCCTCCATTTGCTTTCTGGCAGCCTTGGATCTTTCATCTCCTCTGGGGGTTACAGCTCTCCGCGTGCCTTTCTACAGCAGCTGCCATCATAAGCACAGCCCTCCCCGTCTGCTCTGCTTTAGGGCAGTGTATACGCTAAAGCCAAAGTGTGGAAACTTTGAATAAATATTGGAAGATGATAACCTGGTGAGGCCATGAAGTTCTAAGGGAGTCAAGGCAGGGCTGTGTGCGGGGCCCTTCCTCAGTTTCCAGCCCCTGCCTTGTGGCAGCCACTCGTGAAAACACAAGCTAGATTCGAATCCAGTAGCACATTAGAGACCAACAAGATTTTCCATGGCTTTGACTCTCGAAAGCTAAACCCCCCCCCCCAATCTTAATCTCCAAGGTGCCTCTGGACTTGAATCTCGTTCTTCCACTGCAGACCAGCGCGGCTAACCCATGAAACTGAAAAGCATGAAAACCCTGGAGTTCTCCGTCAATTTTTTATTTTATTTTAACAGACAGACATAAACATTACATAACATAAAATGAGGGTACCCATTACCTCCTTAAATTTCTTGTTTACAGAACTCATACCTTGACTAATCATTAATTCTGCATGTTTCGCCTTGTATCGTTGCATAAATCTCTTGCATATATGTGAAAATGAAGTCTCTGTATCCTTAAAATAGATTGTAAGTCTGTATACTTTACTGAAAGGTCGGTAGCTCGGCAGTTCGAGACCGGAGTGCCGCATGACGGAGTGAGCTCCCATCTCTGGTCCCAGCTCCTGCCAACTTAGCAGTTCGAAAGCAAGAAATTGCAAGTCGATAAATAGGTACCACTTCGGTGGGAAGGTAACAGCGTTCCGTGCGCCTTGGTGTTTAGTCATGCCGGCCACATGACCACGGAAATGTCTCTGGACAGCGCTGGCTCTTTGGCTTTGAAACAGAGATGAGCACCGCAACCCTAGAGTCAGATTCGACTGGCTTTCGAGCAAGGGAAACCTTCACCTTTACCTATACTTTATTTGTTTTATTCTACAGTCCATTTGTGGAATCTCAACCGTGTGTTTTCAAAAGTTGACTCTGGTTGTCCTTTCAGAGTTAAAGTTCGCTTATCCATTCCGGCATTTTTATCCAGAAGCCCTGGAATTCTCGGGGGTGTGTGTGTGTGTGCCAGATGCCGCACCAGATTCCACACGCATGCAGGAGAGTGGTCAGTGCAGAGGGTGGAAGGGTGGCCAGGAGCCACGTGGCAGCTGCTTAGTGGAAACAGTGCTGGGAGGCCGACCTCTGCAGGGCCCTGTTTTTGGGCCATGTGACTGACGTGAGCTCTTGTGGGCGGGCACACACAACCAGGCTCGGTTTGCAGTGGAGTTTACCACCAGCCACGGCCTGGCAGCTTTCAAAGGGGCTGCCGCGTGGTTGCTAGTAAATACTACTTTACACAGAGAGCAATCAAAAGGTGGAATTCGCTGCCAGAGGATGTAGTGATGGCCACAGGAATAAACAGTTTTAAAAGGAGATTAGACAGATACATGGAGAGATAGGTCTGTCAATGGCTACTAGCCACGGTGGCTGAGGGGAACCTCCACATTCAGAGGCACTAATCCTGTGAATCCCAGAGCCAGGAGGCAGCATCAAGGGTTTCTATGCCCTGTTGTTGTCCATCCAGAGGAACTGGTTGGCCACTGGGTGAGACAGGATGCTGGACTAGATGGACCCCTGTTCTGATGCAGCTGGGCTTTTCTCTTGTTCTTATCCTTCCTTTGAATGTGCATGGTGTAGTGGTTAAGTGGGCAGCCTCTAATCTGGGAGAACCAGGTTTGATTCCCTACTCCTCCACTTGCAGCTGCTGGATGACCTTGGGCAAGCCATAGTTCTGTCAGAGCCATTTTAATAAAAACGGGCAGCTGAGTCTTGGGGCACAAGCAGGCATCATGCAGGAAACCTGTTACTGGCTCTCCCTTTTAAAACATTTCAGTAAGGGGGAGAGTCTGACTTTTCTCTAGGATGTGTTCCTCATCAAAATCCCCCCAGGGGTGTGTGTGTGTGGAATTTAAGCTGGAGAAGAAAAGATAACCACAGGGCTGGGTCCTGGGGCCGGTGTTGTTCAGTGTTGTTATAAATGACCTGAGATATAGAATGGGAGGGACTTGGTTTGACAGCAGCACATGTGAAAGGGATCTAGGTGTTCTGGTTGATCACAAGCTAAACATGAGCCTGCAGTGCGATGTGGCTGTGAAGAAAGCTAATGCAATCTTGGGATGCATTAACAGAAGCATTGTGTCCAGATCACGGGAGGTGGTAGTTCCGCTCTATTCTGCTATGGTCAGGCCCCACCTGGAGTACTGTGTCCAGTTTTGGGCACCGCATTTTAGGAAGGACATTGACAAGCTCGAGCGTGTCCAGAAGAGGGCAACCAGGATGGTGAGAGGGTTGGAATCCAACTCTTATGAGGAAAGGCTGAAGGGGCTGGGTGTGTTTAGCCTGGGAAAGAGAAGGCTTAGAGGGAACATGATTGCAAGTATTTGTCATGTAGAAGATGGAGCGGATGTATTCTCTCTTGCTCCGGATTGCAAGACTAGGTCTAATGGGTGGGAATTACAAGGGAGTTCTTACCGGCTAAATACCAGGAGAAAGTTCCTAACTGTAAGAGTGGTTGAGCAGTGGAACAGTCTGCCTCGGGAGGTGGCGGATGCTCCTTCGCTGGACATTTTCAGGCGGAGGCTGGACGACCATCTTTCGGGTATGTTGTAGGTATGTAGAACTATCTTTCAGCTATGGTCCTGCAGAGTGCAGGGGGTTGGACTGGGTGACTTGCAAGGTCCCTTCCAACTCTTAACATTCTATGATGACCTGATTACTTTCTCCCTAGTGAGCTACAGGCAATTTTGAGGCGTGGGGGGAGGTTGATTTATGCAAGGGAAAGGGGAGGGGAAGAGTCATAAACAGTCTCTCTCCCCAGCACTGCTTAATCGAATTAGTCATCACATATAGCTGCTTCTAAGTTTGAATGGATCCATTTGTGGGCTTCCGGGGTGTTTAAACTCATAGACTACAAAAACAGTGGAAAGGAGTACATCATGTGGTGTTACATCATCTTCTGTGATTCAAGTTCCCCCCCTCACCAATGTTCCCTCTAAGCTTTGGGGTCTTGTGAGCAAAAATTCTACTTTGTGAGCTACTGGCATTAAAGTTGTGAGCCATCGATTGGTCTGCTGCATAGATTAGTTTGCCCTGGAGCCCACCTTCCTGAGCTAAGGCAAAAATGTGTGAGCCGGAGGCTAAAAAACTGTGAGCTAGCTCACACTAACTGAACTTAGAGGGAGCACTGACACCTATTTGGCCATTTAGTGTAACTTTCCCTTGTATGTCTACTTGGTCTCCATTGGCTAGGCGCACTTTTTGTGAAGCGTTTGTGTCCAGCTCATGAACCAAATTGATCTCTGCTTTCATAGGTCTGGAAGCACCACTGTCAATTAGCCGAGGCTTGTGGTTTCCATCAGTTTGCGCTACTTGAGATACGCAGTAATTAAGTCGCTTTCTTTGGGAGGAATCCTTCTGTCTCTGTGCTAGAGTGTGAGGTCACTTGCGGGTCCTGCCATTTACATTTCTGTTGAGCAAGCCCTCCCGAGTCTGGATAGGACCTGACTTGTTAACAAAATCGAAGCAGTGAGAGGGGGCATTTCTGTACGCTGCTGAGCTTCCTGGTCTCAGAGCTTTTTAAACCTCCAGTCCAGTTGACGTCCAGCTCGACGATGGGGCTGTGGTTTGGCGAGCGTCTTGTTGACTCCTGCACTAACCGCTTCTCTCCGTTAATTCCCAAAGGTGTTTGATCTACGCCAGTGTCATCGCCAGATGCAGCAGCAGGCGGCCACAGCGCAGGCGGCCGCAGCGGCTCAGGCCGCCGCTGTGGCAGGGAACATCCCGGGTCCAGGGTCCGTAGGGGGAATCGCTCCCGCCATCAGTAAGTGGTGCCGAAAACCGTCCTTCTTTCTTCACCGTATCTTAAAAAAAAAATAGTTCTGTGGGGGCGGGGGGGGGATTAAATTCAGTGAGATGTACCATGTTAATTTGCAGCAGGGGCAAGCCACCATTTTGGCCCAAAGGCTGGGAGAAACCCCAGCAGTGTCTGCCTGTGAAGAAAGGGGTGGGACGGGATGAGGGTTGTCCTGGGCCACACATACTTGGAGCAGGCCGAGTCCCAGCAGTCCAGCCAGCGTCTCACATGGACAGACGTGTAGCTGCTGAGAGCCAGTTTGGTGTAGTGGTTAAGTGCGCGGACTCTAATCTGGGAGAACTGGGTTTGATTCCCCCACTCCTCCACTTGCACCTGGCTGGATGACCTTGGGCAAGCCGTAGTTCTGACAAGAGCTGTTCTTGAAAAAGAGCAGTTTCTGTCAGAGCTCTCTCAGCCCCGCCTATCTCACTTGTGGGGAGGGGAAGGGAAAGGAGTTTGTAAGCCGCTCTGAGATACCTTTGGGTGGTGGAGGGCGGGGTATAAATCAAATCTCTTCTTCTTCTTCTTCTTCTTCTGCTTTATCCCGAATCAGACCACTGGTCCACCAAGGTCAGTCTCCTCTACTCAGACTGACAGCAGCTCTCCAGGGTCTCAGGCTGAGGTGTTTCCCATCACCTTCTGCAAAACCCATTAACCGGAGATGCCGGGGATTGAGCCTGGTACCTCCTGCATGCCGAGCAGATTCTCTGCCACGGAGCCACGGCCCCTCCCCTCTCAGGGGTTCGCCCTGGACTCGGCTGGCAGCTGTGCAGCTCTGGGAGGTGGCGAGAGGCCTGGGGCGTTCTCCTGTATTGCTGGCCTCCGCAGGGCTGCCAGTGCCTCAGTTGCTTGGACGGAGATCCGGCCATAGGCAAGAATCAGCCTGGTGTCCTGGCCGGAGCAGGGATGTCAAACCTAAGGCCCGGGGGCCAGAACCGTCCCGGCCCACGAGCAACTGGGATGGATGGAAGTGGAAACTACTCCCCCTTTTATGGTATCCCTTGGGGGAAAAAAACTAGTCTTGCATATTATTAAATGCATTTATTGGGGCTTTTGTGGGTTCCCCAGAAAATCAGTTGCTTTCACTGCCAGGGATCGGTCAATTTTGTTCGTATTTTGAGTAAAAAAAAATAAATCGTCAATTGGGCTTTGCCTGTGTCCTTTATAAAGTTTATATCTCTGGTACCTGGCGTTACGTTTTATGGTACACGTGGCCTGGCCCGACAAAGTGACATTTATGTCAAATCCGGCCCTCATGACAAATGAGTTTGACCCCTCTGGGTTAGAGTGTGTCACTCGGATCTGGGAGATCCCGGTTCGAATCCCCACTCATGCCATGGAAGCTTGCTGGGTGACCTTGGTTGCACACGCTCAGCCTAACCTACCTCACAGGGTGGTTGTTGTAAGGACAAAATGGAGGAGGAGGAGGTAAGCCATTTTGGGTCCCCATTGTGGAGAAAGGTGACATATACATGAAATGTCTCTGTGCCACTGTCGGCACATGTTAGGATTGTCCAGCCCTGGTTTATTGTGAGCCATGGCTTGCCTTGGTTGCACACGCTCAGCCTAACCTACCTCATAGGGTGGTTGTTGTGAGGACAAAATAGAGGCGGAGGAGGTAAGCCATTTTGGGTCCCCATTGAGGAGAAAGGTGACGTATACATGAAATGTCTCTGTGCCACTATCGGCACACGTTACGGGTTGTCTAGCCCTGGTTTATTGTGAGCCATGGCTTGCAAGGGCCCAGCGAAACAAGCATCAGGAGCTATGGTTTGAAGTGTGTTTTGTAACCAAGGTTTGGCATGACGTTTGAATTAACAACCATAGCCGTGGCTGTGGATCCGTTTCCAAAGGCTCTCCAGGGTTGGAGTGCTGAGAAACTGGAAAATGAAAGCAGACACTCCTGACCCATGCCATGGTTAGCCTATGCATCTGGAAGTTCAAATCGTGACCTGTACCATGGTTAGCCTATACCTGTGGAAATTCAAATCATGACCTGTGTCATGGTTACTCTATAAATCTGGACGTTCAAGTCATGACCTGTATCATGGTTAGCCTACGTAGCTGAACGTTCAAATGATGACCTATATCATGCTTGGTAGCGGTTGGAGTGCTGAGAAACTTGAAAATGAAAGCATACACTCCTGACCCATGCCATGGTTAGCCTATGCATCTGGAAGTTCAAATCGTGACCTGTACCGTGGTTAGCCTATACATGTGGAAATTCAAATCGTGACCTGTGTCATGGTTAGTCTGTAAATCTGGACGTTCAAGTCATGACCTGTGTCATGGTTAGCCTACGTATCTGAATGTTCAAATGATGACCTATATCATGCTTGGTTTTATATCTGGAAGTTCAAGTCATGGCCTATATCATGGTTGGTCTATATAGCTGGAAGTTCGGATCATGAATTTCCAGATGTATTGGCTGACCATGGTTTAGACATGTCTGCTTTTCACTTTCCAGTGGCCCAGCACTCCGCTAGTCTTTGGAAACGGGTCCACGGCTGTAGCGATGGTTGTTAATACAAACATTATGCCAAACCTTGGGTCTGAAATCCACGTCAAACCATAGCTCCTTGTTCTTGTTTAGCTAGCCCCTCACAAGGCACTCTGACCACACTGAAGCTTCCTGAACGGTGGCCTTGTGTGAAGTGGATTGTTGTGTATCTGTTTTGTGAGCGTGGTCCCCCTTCAAGATGACATGCCGTCATTGTGAAGTCTGGCAGGAGTCCTGAGCAAGAGTGTTTGGCGAATCCCTCGCTCGCCAGCATTTTGAGGCTGCAGCAATTCTTAAAGCACACTCGGAATACTCTGAAGCAGGAAACCAGCTGTGGCAGATCAAATGAAGCGACTGTGTCTCCTGCCGTTTTGACACGATAACATTTTCTAACTTGAAGTTGCTTTAAGGAAAAACCTCTGCAAGACGGGAACAGGGTTGACAAGTACCACTGGGATCCGTTACTTGAAATCTGGTGAAAGGCACTTGATCTCTGAGAGTCTTGCCAGAGATTCTCCTTGAAGTAGTTCCAGGGAAACAAGATTGTGGTCTGTCCTACTTGTTTTTTGTATTATGTTGCTCTTACAGCACTGGTCTGTACATTTGTAATCCTCCCCCCCACACACACACACTGTTAATAACATACGTCTGATATTTTTAAAAAGTTAAGAGTCCCGTGGGGCACCTTTAAAACCAACAAAGTTTTATTCAAGGTATGAGCTTTTGTGCGCATGCACACTTCCTCGGATACAGTGAAATGGAAGCGCAGATCATAGTTGTGTATATATAGATGGTGGCTTGTAAAGTTAGTATGCAAAATAGGGAAGTGTTTTTTAGCAGATAAAAAGAATGACAAGCTTGGTTTCCGGTTGTCATCTGTTTGGGTTCAACTGTGTGTGTGTGGGGGGGGACAACAACATAGGCAGGGCTCTTTTTGTAGAAAAAGAACTGGAGATGGATGTACCCTAAACTGTGAGAATTCAGCCTGTAATTCCGTATAGTTGTCTGAGGAAGCGTGGGTGCACACGGAAGCTCACACCTTGGATATGTTGGTCTTAAAGGTGCCACCGGTCTCTTAACTCTGTTCTGTTGCTTCAGACCAGCACGACTGCCTACATGGATCTGTCTGATATTGTTGACAGCATTGTCTTCCACTGTGTAATCTTCATGAAGTGTCAGCAAGAAGGGTGGGCTATACATAAGTATGTACAGGGAACTAAGCTTCGTGATCTGACGGGTGAGGGTGGTTGGTAAAACTCTTTGCAGAAGTCTGGAAGTGTTGTCAGCTGACACATGGCGGGGAGGGGTGGCGCCCACAGAGGAGGTTAGGTGCAGGCTCTCGAGAACCTCCTGCTGTTTGAGAGCTGGAGGCATGAAGAATTCTGTGGTTTCCCCTCTAGGCTTGTCGGCGGCCGCAGGGATTGGCGTGGACGACCTCCGCCGCTTGTGCATCCTCCGGATGAGCTTCGTCAAGGGCTGGGGCCCCGATTACCCAAGGCAGAGCATCAAGGAGACGCCGTGCTGGATCGAAATCCACTTGCACCGCGCCCTACAGCTCCTGGACGAAGTCCTGCACACCATGCCCATCGCCGATCCGCAGCCTCTCGACTGAGAGGCCCCGGGTGGCCGCCGAGCCGGCGCTAGCGGAGGAGGGTGGATTGTAAAATACGGTTTCATTTATTAACCGGAAGGTATAGGTCACTTCCGTTCTGCTTAATCTCTTAACCAGGTTTTAAAGAGAAAGATGTCTTTGCCACCTTGCACTCAGCAGAAAGAGCCTGAACCCCACTGCCCGTTTGAACCCGTTCACTCCTTTGCGGTGTGCTGGGGGGGGGGGCGTGTATGTGGTGGGGGGAGTCACCTGTTCCTGTCCTCCTTTCGCTGTCCCAATCGTGTGGACTTCGCCAGAGGCCTGGCGTCGAGCTGAACGATCGCTAAGCATGCAGGGAAGCCCGGAGTCGACCCCCTCGCTCGTGCGGATAGCCCGCCGCTCGCCGAATCCACCCCCCCGTGAGCAAAATCGTGTCGATTTATTCGGAAGGGATGATGTGGTGCTGGAGTGCAGGTCTCAGAGGAGACTTCTTCGATGTAAAATATTTATGGAAGCATACTCTTTTAAAGAAACAACAAACACTAAAAGGAATTGGCTTCAAAGCCGGTGCTCAATTTAAACACAACATGAAATAGTTCAAAGGGAGGCTTGCCCATTCAATTTACACAACGAATGTTTAATAACAGAAGTGTCTTTTCGTCGCTGTTCCCCAGTGGTTTTCAGTACAGCGAAGAGCAGTTGAGAGCGCATGAATGAGAGTGTGTGTGTGAGTGTGTGTTTGTGTGCGTGCGCATTACTGAACATGGAGTGCCATCCTAAAAGTCCTGGAAATCATGCTTAGCGGTTTGGTTGCATCATGGAGAATCCAGATTTCCTAATGTGTTCAGTATTTCTACTCAGGGCAAGATGGCAAACTTGTTTTTTATACCTCGTGGTTATTCTAAGCTCTTAACGCCATCGACGGTCTTACCGATTTGCATTTTGACTTTGTATAGAGAATTTCAAGTAGAAGTTGCAAATGTATTGGCTGTACGACTGGCGCAATATTACGCTTTCTCTAGTTAATAAAACTTACCAGTAAAATTCTGAGAACTCGGATCGAGATTTTAACGGGCTCAGTTTCTTAAGTGCTCTCGTCCTCTTGGGATCCCTCCATCCGGAGTTGCGAGCCAGTGTGCCACCGGAAGCTCTTCAGGAAGCAATGCGGGAGTCCTTGTGAAGCTTCTGGCTAGCTTTCAGATTCTCTAGGTCAGGGGTCCCCAGCCCTTTGGAGCCTGTGGGGCACCATTGGAATTCTGACACCCTGGGGTGGGCACGGCCACAAAATGGCTGCCACAGCAGAGCCAGACACAAAATGGCTGCCGCAGTTTCCCTTCAGTCACACCATGAAAATCCTTTTGCTGTGATGGGAGCAGCTGCCAAATCTGCATTCTCTTGCATTGTTGGACGGTCATCAGAACCTACGTTTAGGGGCCAAACAAAGTATTCTGCTAAATAGAGCCAGTTTGGTGTAGTGGTTTTAAGTGCACGGACTCCAATCTGGGAGAACTGGGTTTGATTTCCCCACTCCTCCACATGCAGCTGCTGGTGTGACCCTGGGTCAGTCACAAGTTCTCTCAGAGCTGTTCTCTCAAGAGTAGTCCTCGAAAGAGCTTTCTCAGCCCCACCTACCTCACAGGGTGTGTGTTGCGGGGAGGGGAAGGGATTGTAAGCCGCTCCGAGACTCCTTTGGGTAGTGAAGGGCGGGGTATAAATCCACTTAGGCGGGCTTCAGAACGCAGATTGCTAACAGAAGAGCAAACACTTCCCTTGCAGGAATCGCAGAGCACGGAAAGATGCCATGCCACGTACACAGTGGGAAGTAATCCTGCATTAGGAACAATGCCTATAATTTAGCTGGCACAACAGCCGCCACCCCAGCTTGTTCCCTGTAGAAGGTTTAATTGATCAACCGATTACATCTTTAGCCATTTGGATATGGAAACAGTCCCGAATAAAACCAGGCAGGCCGCGTGAGCTGTTACCCCACAGTGGGTGCCATCTTGGACGCGGCGCTTCCTCCTGTGAGCAAAAGGGGGGGGGAACGCTTCCTCCGCAGAGGGCCGCCTCCACCCCGGGTCTCCGTGCACGCACTCGCAATTTTAGAATTCAGTTGGGCAGCCATGTCAGTCTGACGCGACAGAACACAGTTTGGACCCAGTGGCACCTTTTGAGACCCACAAAGTATCATTCGGGGGATAAGCATTCATGTGCACGCACAGTTCTTTAAGAACGTTTTAAAAGGTGCTGAACTGTCAAGACCCTGGGCAGACCAGCCGCCCTCTTGACCTGGAGGCCTGCAGAGAAGGGCAGCTCTTGGGGCCCATCTCCGCACTCCCCACCCCTGCCGCCCCCTGCAGAAAGCACCGCAGGTGCTAGCAAGGTCACCAGCTGGCAATCCGTACGGCATGGAGGTAAACGGCATCACCTGGTAAATAACCTCCCACTACGCCGCTGTGTTTGCAGTATTAGCCACTAGAGCAGCGGTCCCCAAGCCGTGCTCGTGGGTTACCCCACAAAGTGTTTTTAGAAAGTGGGCAGAGCCCCCCAAAGGGCTTCTCCCCAGCAAGACTTCAAGCCGTGGAAATGTTTCAAAACATCGCTTCTCACTGAGCTTCGGTCTGCGAGGTAACCTTTTTAGAAGCCGGGGAGCTTCGCAGGAGAGTTTTGACTGCCGGAGCTGCCGAACGGGTTTTCCTAGGTGAGGCAGACCTCGGCGACGCCATCTGCCAGGGGCCCCCGGCTTCTTGTCAAGGAGCCAGAGGAGGCCTTGAGAAGGGCGCGTGCCTCTCGGCCGGTGACCTGAGCTGCCCTGGGATGATGGGTCATCGCGGGGGAAACTGCATGCAACCGCCGCTGCTTCCGTTCAGGCCTTCGAGCAGCCTCTCTCGCTGGGCGTGCTCTGCAAGAAGCAGGCCACGGCGTCTGAAATACAGGGAAGCTGAGATCGGGCACCCTCCCGCCCTGGGCCACAAGTGAAAGTCGGCTGTGTCGGTGGTTATAACCGGCGGGGCCGTTTTCCATTTGCGAGGGCAAGTCACCACTAGGTGTCCTCGCTGCTCTGCCTTCAGAGGAAGTGCCTAATAAAAAAAGGTGTCTGTCCTCACACTTTGCTAAGGAAGAAAGAAGACTTCAGCAGAAATGATGCCTGGCCCTTTGGGCATCGAACGCAGAGAGCAGTTCCCCGTCGAACTCACCGATTTGCGTGTTCCTACGAGGGCGGCCTGCCTGTGCTCGATGTGCCGCTGGAGCGAGGGGTTGGGAAATTTGGTGGAAATAGTTAAGTATTCAGAGGTTGCAATGGATCTTTGTTCACTGGAGAGGAGGCATTTTCTTTCTATGTAAAAACCTGGTTGCAATGGAGAGGAGGCATTTTCTTTCTGTGTAAAAACCTTTATTTCTAAAGGGAAGGGCACACGGGAACTGTACAAAACAACAAACCCTTAAGACTACATGCTTGCAACGGCAGACAGACACAGATAGTCATGGAGATTCTTCCTTTCTTCTTGACCCCTAGAAGGAAATCACCTGAATGCATCAACTAATGATTGTTAGTAAATAGGCTTCAGTTTCCTGGGCTTTCTCCCCATTGGCTTTGTGCCAGGTTCCCTTCCAGATCAGTCTAAACAACAGCGCACACAAGGTAGGGTTCCCAAGTTGAAAATACTCACCGGCGGGGGAGCCTTGGCTGGCTCCGAGAGCCGTCCCCAGATAGAGTTTTCCCTCCCCGATCCGGGCCACGCCCCCAACGTGGTCGACGTGCACGTCACTTCCTGTGACGCTGCGCTTCGGGGGGCGGAGTTCCCCCCGGGGCCCGATTCCGCGGGGGCGGAAATCGGGCCTCCATAGCGGGGGTTTACCCGCCACCCGCCCCCACTTGGTAGCCCTAACACAAGGTAAACACATTAACCCTATAATGACTGAATTTAGTCCTTGCGACACACACATTTCCAACGTGAGGAATGTATAAAAGCAGTGAAAGGTCCACACTAGAGATGCTCACAATTCGACCCCCCCTGAGCTTGGCAAAACCTGGCCCCACCCACTCCTAAAACACTTGGGGGGGGGGGCAACAGAAAAGGTGTTGATGGGTGTCACCACGTTGGGGGCCCCTGCTTTAACCACTACACCTCATGGGCTGTCTTGGGGGCTTGCCTACTTTGCCCCCTTTCG